ACAGGTGTGTATCATGTGTGTGTTTTGTTTGTTTGTTTGTGTGTGTGTGTGTGTGTGTGTGTGTGTGTATGTCTGTCTGTCTGTGTGTGTATATTTGTACGTCTGTGTGTTTTTTTGTGTGTATGTGTGTACCTGTTTGTGTGTGTGTGTAAGTAAAAACAGGTAAAAGCACACTTTTACAATTTAACAAAAAGTAGCTGAACACAAAATCTCCAAGTCCAGTCTTTTATCTGACCAAAGTATGAACCTTTAAAACAATTTAAAAAATAATAATAATATGAATATTTGGAGTGATTTTCTTTTAGTCAGAACATAACGTTTTATGTTACTGTTGTACGTTGTACTGTATTGTAAAGCGCCCAGAGCCTGTGTACTTTAATCGAGGTTGAGCGCTATATCTTTTTTTAAAAATCATTAGGCTACCTCTGAGTGAGTTATCTTCGGTCTCAAACCCGTGAGGTGACAGAAACAGCATGAGGAAAAAGGACCCTGGCTTGTTATGAATTGTTCTGAGACGTTCCAAAACAACTCACAGCTCAAGATTTTGGGTAATAAAATACAGCAAACCTTAATCTTCTGTCATTTCGTCGACAAAATATCTGCTTGAACAGCGCACCACATATTTGTGGCTTTTATCCAAGTTTTAATATTTTCCAATTGTACAGTTACAGTGTCTGGATTCGTAATCCTTCGCTCGCGTATAACTGAGGATTTTCAGTGTTTTTTAATATATTCTTTTAAAGTGTGACAATTATAAATCATCAAGAGAAGAGGAAGGTTCAGGGAGAAACCTTTACCACGAGTAAGTATGCTGTATTCTTTACGAAAATGATTTTCAGTGGGTTTTTTTTTTGTTTTTTAAAAGTGTAACAATTATAAATTATCAAGCCAAGAAGAGGAAGGTTCAGGGAGAAACCTTTGCCACGAGTAAGTATGTTGTATTATTTGCGAAAATGGAAGGACTTCCGTAACGAGCGACCACCCCAACTAACACAATAAAAAAGAGACCTAATCCTAACCACACCCCATACCTAACCTAAACCCTACCCCTACCCCTACCCGTTTGTTCTAAATTCTAGATCTATTTTGTCTTATTCTGGTCGCTCGTTACGGATGTCCCCTTTTAGTTGGTCTCTTTTAAGCACAAGGGGGCTATCCCGAAAAATCCTATTATGAGAAAATCGAAGGTAAAGTTTTTGCCCCTTATTCAGTTTATTAAAAATACAAGAGGGACAAGGTCCACTGACCAAACTGTACGAGGGTTAGGGTTATGGTTAATATCATTATTAGACCTATTATTAAGATTTAATTAGTTTTTAAATTTAAATCTAGATTTAGATCTAGATCTGTATAATATATTGATCATTTATC